TTCTAAAACACATGTTTCTAAAAAGCTGTAGTGGGTGTCCTGCATCATCATAAACATGGACAAGGAGAGTACATTCTTTGACTGTTAAGTTTAAGGTCAGACTGTGTTGCCCTGATCATTATTAATGATTACGGGCAACACGGTTGCTCAGTGGTTAGCACTGCTGCCTCACAGCACCAGGGACCTGGATTCGATTTCACCCTCGGGTGACTGACTGTGTGGAGTTTGCACGTTCTCCCCGTGTCTGCGTGGGTTTCCTCCGGATCCTCCGGTTTCCTCCTACAGTCCAAAGATGTGCAGGTTAGGTGGATTGGCCATACTAAATTGCCCATAGTGTTCAGGGATATGCAGGCTAGGTGGGTTAGCCATGAGAAGTGCAGGGTTACAGAGACAGGGTCGGGTAGTGGGTCTGAGTGGGATGCTCTTTGGAGGGTCGGTACAGAATTGATGGGCTGAATGGCCTCTTTCCGCACTGTAGGGATTCTATGATTATGCTAATTCCACACAAAACTGATTTTAAATATCTTACCCTTAGACTCTGCGGTTGGTGTTTCTCAGGAGCTCGTCTCTGCTGGTTTAGTAGACGAGTTTGACATGATGGTTGGTAAGTTGCAACTCTGTCATATTCAACTTTACAATCAATTCAAAGGCAGACAATAGTTGAGACACTACTAAGTATTCTGAGCTGCTGGGTTGGAATGGGGCAGAAGCCCATAGAGCTCTCACGAGCAATGAAATTTAGCGTTGCTTAAATGTGTCCCAGATGCAGGGGTTGGGGAACATGAAAACATGCAGAATTCTTGCTCCTAATTGCAGTCCAGTGAGTTTTCCATTTATCCCCTGCGTCAGTATTGATTTGACAGTCATGGTCATCATAGTCAAATAGCCTCGTGATACTCAGTTGAGGTTCACAAGTGGAGTCTTGCAAGCTGCAGGCCCTATTGAAGCCTGGCTGCAAACATTCAGTATCTTTCAAGAGAAATGTGGGTGGAGAAAATCCCCTCCAATGAGTTACCTTCAAGGCTCTGTCCCACCACTGCTGGCTGATACAATGTCCTATTACCTATCCTGACAGCCTTTATAATCTTTTTTCTGTTGTTTCATCAGTAGCCAACAACCTGCAGAGACTAATAGATGATCCTCATTCAAACAGGACCCTCACATTCAGACTGGTAAGGGAATCCAACATGCTCTCTACAAACTTCTCTGATGTTCAAATATTTAAAGAACTGTAAGCATGAAAATTCATGGATTTGTGACAGCTGATTGTTTTTCCTAACTCTTAGTTTATAAAATTGGAGAATTAATTTTTATTCATTCGTTCATTTACGTAGGCTCACAAATGTTTTGGTGCCTGGTTGCTGTCCACATTGCGAGGTGATCTGGGGCATTCTATTTTGATAAAAGTGCTGTATAAATAAGTTGTTGCTTGACTGTAGTATTATCCCTTACGTGTTAATGGGCTTCTTGCAGCCTTATCGATAGACAGATCTTTTACCATCACCTTGATGTGGACACTTGAACTGGAATGAGAGGCTACTGACTGGCTGGGAGGATCAGAACTGAAATGATCAGGCAGTCTCAATCCAGTCTGCAGTTAGCCTGAGGCACAAATCAGCATAGCTTCATAATCTCACTGGGGAGTGACAGCTAGCTGATGTGGAAATGGGGAAGAAATATGATTTTGATGTGATGTGGGTACTCTTCTGAGCTTAGGGTAAAGATGTGCTGTTGGGCAGAGGAGGAAGAGGTTCATTGTGCTGTATAATTTAATTGCTGCAGCTGATCTAGGAATGTTTCTTGACATAAGTGGGCACTTATATCCTCTTCTTGTGGCTAATGAAATGAATTTCAACACAGTGATCACAACTCCTTAAGTTTTAATATAGCTATGAACAAGGAAAAGTCAGGACCTCACAGGAAGGTACTAAATTGAGGAGGGCAAATTACGTTAGTATTAGACATGAGCTAGGGAGAGTTAATTGGGAGGAGCTGTTATCAGACATTTGACACGAGGGAGTTGTTTAAAGACCTGCTGAAGACATGTTCCAGAAATTAGAAGGACAAAAATGGCAAGGTAAGGATAACGAGGGAGATTGTGAATTTTGTCAAAAGTCAAAAAGAAGCATATGTAAGGTTTAGGAAGCTAAAGTTGGACAGGGCCCGTGAGGA